CCCCACGTGTCAAGCAGGGGGAAGGGCAAGCTGCCCCGCACTCACCTCTCGCAGGACCACCAGCAACAACAGCAGCAGCAGCAGCCGCGGGACGCGCACAGCGGCAGGCATGGCAGCGCCGAGCACTGACTGCCCGGCACCGGCTCTGCCCGGCTGCGAAGTGTGGCAGCCCCGCCCGCAGCCCGCCCCTTTCCCGCCCGCGGGCCGCTACGTGACCCTGCGCGTGCCGGCATCTCCCCCTCGCGCCATGGCCCGTCCGCGGTCGTCACACAGCTCAAAAGGTGCCGGCGTTTTTGAGGCAGCCCGTGCAACACCCGAGTCCGCCTCCGAGGCTTTCAACTGGCTTTGGGGCTTGCTGGCTGCACCTTCTCGTGACTGATCGCCTGAGAGTCACCCAGAAGTCGTGGCAGAGGTGACAGCTTTTGTTAGACCAACGACAAGAATTTTTGTTTCGCAAAACACTGGTTGGTCTAATAAAAGGTAGCACCTCGGCCTCAAGTTCTGAACCCCTGTGCCCCTGGACCAACGCGGCTCCAACCTGAACACCTGTCTGAAAAGGAAAGATCTAAAAAAAATACATGTCTAGATATAGATAGATATAGCTAGGTATATACCTAGATATATAGATCAGGGGCGGACAAAATGCACCCGCAGGGCCCCTAAAAAATTTAGAAAATTAATATTAATCTGCTCCAGCTGCTTGTCTTGCAGCTCTCGATGGCTTGCCGAAACTCGGTAAGTGGCCCTCTGCCCAAAATAATTGCCTGCCTCTGATATAGATACATATAGATCTCTCTCTCTCTATATATATGTATATAGGCAGTTATATATATACATCAGCTCAGAACACATACAAAACCTTAGACCCACCCCAAAAACCCACGTCCAGGCACTCGCGTGCCCGTTACAATAATCGCATCTGTGCTCCCGCGCACCTGTCCTCAATCCTTGCCTTGATACAGTGACACTCAGGGCTCAGATCACCAGGGAGCCCAGGGTGGCTGAGCCCCCCATACAAGATGGGAGCCCCCCTGTAAGATATAAAAATCATAACCTGGGTGGGTCTTTGATTTCATTAGGGCATTGTGATCGACAGCCCATTTTTTATGCAGACCCCACCAGGAGTCAAAGTGTAATTCAAAGCCTGATTACGCTGTCTCTTGGTGCTAGCACTGGTTACGAGCTTTAAGCTCTCAGTTTATTCACTGTTGCTGTCACTGCTGCTGCCTGAAAATAAAGAAATGCTATGACTTTGACCCCGTTCCCACTCACTCACTAGCAAGTTTTAGTGAGCAATATAAAGTAATGAAGACGACTTATTTAATATATATTTGCATATTTTTCAGCAAATATGATAATTTTGAGCTTCCAATATGATAATTTCATATTTAAGACCTGGCAATGCTGCCTGTGGGCCAACACTCCAGCTCCTCACCTCCTACCCCCCCCCACCTGCCCAGTGTTGCCAGGTGTCCAATAATTATCATATCTGTACAATAATTTCCACCTTTGTACAATGGATAATAGTAAAAGTGTTCAAAATGTATGATAATTTTTTATGCAGTTAATTGATGCAGCATGTGCAAAACCCAAGTCACTCTCAGGAAGTCTTAACTGACTTTTGGGTTCTCTGTCAGCACTTTCTTATGACTGTTTGCCTTGAAATAAAGAAACGCTCCAACTTTGATGACCCATTGGATTGGAATTTGACAGGGACTAAAGGGAGGGTAATATTTTAATTACACTCGTGGTGCTCAAGCCAGGTGCCAAATGACTGGAAGAAGGCCAATGTGGTCCCCGTTTTCAAAAAAGGGAGGAGGGAGGACCAGGCAACTATAGGCCTATTAGTCTTACTTCGATCCCAGGGAAGCTCTTTGAGAAAATGATCCAGGAGCACATCTGGGAAGGACGAGCACAAGGGATGATGCTTAGGGGCAACCAGCATGGGTTCATTAGGGGCAGGTCCTGTCAGACCAACCTAGTGGCCTTCTATGACCAGGTCACAAAATCATTGGATGCAGGTGTCACCATGGATGGAGTCTTTCCGGACTTCAGGAAGGCCTTTGACAGTGTCTCCCACCCCATTCTCCTTAAAAAGCTAGGCGACCGTGGCATTGATACTTACACAGAGAGTGTTGGTGGACGGGTCATAGTCGACCTGGAGAGATGTGGGCAGTGGAGTCCCCCAGGGCTCGGTCCTCAGGCCCACACTGTTCATTTTCTTTATTAGCAACTTGGACGAGGGGGGTGAAAAGCACCCTGTTCAAATTCGCTGATGACACCAGGATTTGGGGCAAGGTGGGCATGCTAGAAGGGAGGGACAGGATACAGCTGGACCTGGACAGGTTACAGGGGTGGGCGAATGAAAATAGGATGGGATTCAATACTGACAAGTGCAGGGTGCTGCACTTGGGCAGTAGGAACCAGCAGCATACCTATAGGCTGGGGAACTCCCTTCTCGAAAGCAGGGTGGCAGAAAGAAATCTTGGAGTCATTATCAATTCCAAAATGAACATGGGCCGCCAATGTGAGGACGCGGTCAGTAAGGCTAACCGCACCTTATCATGCATCCACAGGTGCATCTCCAGCAGGTCCAAGGAGGCGATCCTCCCCCTCTATGGGGCACTGGTCAGGCCGCAGCTGGAGTACTGTGTCCAGTTCTGGGCACCGCACTTCAGGAGGGATGTGGACAACATGGAGAGGGTCCAGAGGAGGGCCACTTGCATGATCAGGGGGCAGCAGGGCAGGCCCTACAAGGAGAGGCTACAGGACCTGAACCTGCTCAGCCTCCACAAGAGAAGGCTGAGAGGGGACCTGGAGGCCATCTATAAACTTACCAGGGGGGGACTAGCAGGGAATGGGAGAGACCCTGTTCCCCTGAGCACCTCCCAGATTAACAAGGAATAACGGCCACAAGTTGTTGGAGAGTAGGTTTAGATTAGACATCTGTAAGAACTACTTCACAGTCAGGGTGGCTAGGATCTGGAACCAACTTCCAAGGGAAGTGGTGCTGGCTCCTACCCTGGGGGTCTTTAAGAGGAGGCTGGATAGTTACCTAACTGGGGTCAGATGAGCCCAGTATTCTCTCCTGCCCAGGGCAGGGGGTCAGACTTGAAGATCTACTTAGTTCCCTTCCAACCCGACATCTATGAATCTATTCATATCTAAGAATTTACCGTTTATCTTTAACTAGCGACTTACAGTGAGAGATCTAAGTAACTGCATAATGATCACATAACTACATCTCATTGTGTAATAATACTAAGAACTTTATTTTAAATGCTATATACTGTTTTAACTCAATGGAAAATCAAAGGGGTTTTGTGCTTGCCGCACTTGTAAATTCCAGGCGTGTACCTAGTACAATAAGTTGCACAATATAAAGTGTAAAATATTTACAATGCACAGACCTGAGCCGCAAAACAAAGGGAACAGAATACTCATAGTAATAAATTCTGTTTAAGCAGTCGAAGAAAAAAGTAAACAAAACGTCATAGTGGGCAGTGTCAAGTCGAGCAGCACAGGATGTGATGATAACAGTATAAGGCAATGTGTTATTACTTAAAAAGGAAAGGTTATTTGCATACTTATTTGCATACCTGTTTCTAAGTGTACAGTAGTTTTTCAGAAAATATGATCATTTGAACTTTCAATATGATCATTTCATATTAAAGACCTGGCAACGCTACACCTACCCCTCTACCTGCTCACTCTTCCCCACTGCGCCCCTGAGAGTGAGAGACTGCCTTTCAAAAACAGAGTGGGCTCCTCAGGCCTGGCTTGGAAAGAGCATTAGCCTGCAGCCAGGACTAGCCCCTGGTTGTGGGCAGGCCCCTAGTTTCAAGGGAGATATCTTACCAAGGCTCACTGATGGTATGCCAGCCCTGTAGCCCCAAAAACTGGCACAAGCAGCAAGGGGGAGTTCCCACTTTTATACAGAAAATCATAGGGGTTTGGGTCAAAGGAAGGGAACAGGTCAAAGATGAAGAAACATCAGCACTGTGGTAACATACACTTAGCCCTTAATTTCCACACACCCCCCCCTCTGGAGGTATCCCCAAATAAGCCTTTAGTCCCTAGAGCACTTAAACAGCAGCCTGCAGCTCCCCATCACATGGCTGTATCAGGGTCAGGCTGTCCCTTACCCCTCTCTGTGCAGCCAGATCAGGCCCACAGGTGGGATCCAGCCCACAGATGTGCTGGGCACTGCCCTTCTGACCAACAGCACAAAAAGGTTGAGCACCAGTGGCTAGGGCTGTACAACCCTAGTGTAGTCAGGACAAGTCATAGTTTTAGCTCAAATACCCTGCTGGCAAGAATACAACTATTTTCCTCAGGTTAGATATGGTCAGGGGGATTAAGTGGCTGGACCAAGGTCACAGGTGATCGCAGATGCTGTATAAGCAGTCTCAGCAGCTGCAGCTACTGTTGCCCCCTGAGGTACAGAGCAGGCATTGGGAGGAGACAGTGAAAAGAGCAGGACACACCAGAGTGAAAGGTGGCATCAGCAACCCTGAAGGGGCCCGAGCTAGATCACTGAATCTTAACATTTTTAGCCTCAATGCCTCCCTCCATGTCTTTTTTTGAAGTCAGATCTATCTCATCATTTTTAACTGGGGTGCAATGAAATTCAGAAAAGTTATGGAGGGGAGCCTTGAGGCTAAAAAGATTGAGAATCACTGGTATAGACACCAACCCCTTGCTTAAAGAGTGTCATTTTAGTTTTTAGTCAACCAAAGACTGCGGTAGCCAACCAAAGACTGCTGCCCTTGTGTCATCAGGAAGGCTTTGGCTTCCATGACCCCAGCCCACTCTTTGGTGAGAGAGGCAGCAAGCTGCTGGGAAGAGATGGCCTCCACCTTTCTTCCCTGGGGAGGAGGCTCTTCTCAGCCAGACAGGCTGACCTGCTCCACGGGGTTTTCAACTAAGCTCGTTGCTGGACGGGGGGACTACAGCCACTGCTGGCTCGCTGAGCATCCCTTGCAAAGCCAGCAGGCCAAGGCACTTAAGGGAG